CTTGCAGCAAAGATTAGAGAGAGGGGACGAAGGAATTAATGCATTAGATGCTGCGTGTAAAGCACACGACATTGCGTATTCACAACATAAAAATTTAAGTGAAAGACACGAAGCAGATAAAATCTTGGAAAATAAAGCGTGGGAACGGGTGAAATCAAAAGACGCTAAACTAGGTGAAAAGATTGCAGCTTGGTTTGTAACGACAGCAATGAAAGGTAAACGTAAATTGGGTATGGGATTTTCAAAAAAACCAAAAAAAGGAGGTGCCTTGAAAAAAAAAAAAGAAACGCATTATTCGAGCTCCCAAGAAAGGTGGTTTTTTACCTTTGTTGTTACCATTGCTCGGAGCTTTAGGAGCTGTTGGGGGAGGTGCAGCTGGAATTGCCAAGGCGGTAAATGATGCCAAAGCTGACCGCGAAAAACTTGCTGAACAACAAAGACATAATTTGGTAATGGAACAAACAGCGAAAAAAGGAGCGGGGTTTTATTTAAGACCATACAAAGGTTACGGAATAAAACATCGCGGCAAAGGTTTCCGTTTAAAACCGTATTCAAGAAACTCCCGATAAAGCTACCTAAACGAGCAATGACTGATGTAGATCTTGTTAAATATGCTGGTTTGTTACATATTCCCCATTTTCGTGGAGTTTTTATGCGTGATTCTGTACCTCATGTAATACGAAAACATGAATCAGGTATAGTAAACCACGATACTAAATACGGAAATGGTACACATTGGACTGCATATGCTAAACAAGATACGGTAATTACTTATTTTGATAGTTATGGAAATTTACCTCCTCCTACTGAATTAGTACGATATTTTAAAAGTAATGGAAACGTTACTATAGTATATAACTATGATGTCATTCAAAATTTTAATTCTTTTAATTGTGGTCAAAACTGTTTAAGATTTTTATTTAATTACTATAATTAATCAGTGAGTATCATTTATACTTGAACCATCATGTCAGTCACATTCACCCTTACTGGAGAATCATCAATTCTCAGTGATGATTATAATCCACCCATTTATCTTGATGAGAATTTCAATTATGAAATTGGTGTTGCAAACTTTGACACTTTTAACAGTATTCCAAATGTCGATATTCATAATAATGTTTTTGTGTGGGGTAAAAACAGTGAGTTTACCTTTAAAATTCCTGTAGGTGCCTACGAAGTTGACGATATTATTAAAATTATTAAAAATGAAATGATTCAAACCGCTAGCATAATTAGTATGAAACCCGATATAAATACAAATAGAATTAGTATTAAAAGTAGTGATTGGATTAATTTTGATGTTGATAATTCTATAGGAAGTTTACTAGGTTTTGAAAGAGTTAAACTTACACCAAATAAACTTCATTTATCCACGAATGTGGTGAATATTTTAAAAGTTAATACTATCTGTATTGATTGTAATATTGCTGTTGGATCTTTCTTAAATGGAAAGGCTGTGCATATTATTCATCAATTTTTTCCTCAAGTTCCTAATGGGTATAAAATAGTTGAACAACCATTAACCATCTTGTATTATCCTGTAAGCAACAAGACGATAAGCAACATAACTGTACGAGTTTTAGATCAACAAGGAAATTTAGTTAATTTTAATAAGGAAACAATTACTGTTCGGCTACATCTTAGAAAAATTGAGTAAAATGGTTTTGCAGTTTCATCGAGGTAATTATAACAAACATTCCTATAAAAGACGTCATCTCATTAAAACAATTAGTAGAAGGATAACATCTAAGCTGTTAACATCTCAAAATCGTAAATTTTTGAAATCTCTTGATTATCAAGTCTTAATATAATTTAAATGTTACATGTGTTGGGTCAACCTTTTAGCGATACAACCATTGAAGATTATCAGTATCACACTTATCAACCATACACATCAAATTTAAACTATAATGATGAAATTAGAATTCCTATCCAAGATTTAGACGCCTATACTTTACCATGTAACAGTTATATTTACATTGAAGGTCAAATGTTAACCGATAAAAATCAGGTTCCAACAAAATTTCAATTTATTAATAATGGTATTTCATATTTATTTAGAGAATTAAGGTATGAGTTAAACGGTGTTATAATCGATTCTGTACGAAATATTGGTTTAATTTCAACTTTGAAAAATTATTTGTCGCTTAATGAAAATCAGAGTAAACTATTACAAAATGCTGGATGGTTTCCAAAAGGAGATAAACTGGTAATTGATAACCACGGGAATTTTAACGTTTGCATACCGTTAAAAATTTGGTCCGGATTTTTCGAAGATTTTCAAAAAATTATAATAAACATGAGACAAGAATTAGTCTTGATACGAGACAAAGATGATATTGATGCTATTATTGCTACAGATGAAACAGAAAAACCAAAAATTGCAATTAATAAACTATATTGGAATGTACCTCATATTTTACCCAATATTAGCGAACAATTGCGATTAAACAAAATAGTTCGTAGTAACATAGAACTACCTATTAAATTTAGAAGTTGGGAATTGGTCGAGTATCCCACTTTAAATAATTCAACACGTCATACTTGGCCAGTAAAAACAACTACAAAGCTAGAAAGTCCTCGACACATTGTAGTAGCTTTCCATGATGGTCGAAAAGGAAAAATGCTAAAAGATATGAGTAAATTTGATCACTGCAATCTAACAAATATCCGTATGTTTCTAAATTCGGAGCGATATCCTTATCAAGATCTCAACTTAGATTTTGACACTAACCGTTTTGCAACGTTGTATGAAATGTTTGCCAATTTCCAAGAATCTTATTATCATATTCAAACTAATCAACCAATATTCAGTCCAGAAGAATTTAAAAAGAATGCCCCTATAGTACATACTGATTGTTCAAGACAAAAAGAAATAATTCAAAGTGGCTCTGTTGTTTTAAGAATAGAATTTGAAACTAGTAAGTCTGTAGGAAACAATGTTTCCGCTTATTGCTTGATATTGCATGAAAAAGAATTCTCTTATAATCCTTTAACTAAAATTGTGAGACAGCAATAAAAGGTCTGCTTCATAGTCTAAATGTTAGTTGTTAAAATGAATTTGGTAATAGACGTTCAAGGGTTTAAAATAGAAAATAATAAATTTGTAGTGAAAGAACTTGCTGCTTTTAATGGAACGCAAATTTGTCATTATGTATTTAAGTCTCCGTTTCCTATTAGAATGTTGTCTTCCGATTTACACAGACAGGCAACTTGGTTAACAAAAAATCATCACTGCATTGATTGGAATTTTGGTTTTACACCTCTTTATCATTTTGCAAATATTTTAAAGGATATTACACAAAACGCTGATGCAGTTTACGTCAAAGGTTTGGAAAAGAAAAATTATTTAAAAAAATACATTGCTGTTCCTTTATACGAATTGGATGAACAACCATCATTAGAAGTTCAGAAACCTGCTTGTTTTTATCATAATAGTGAAAAATGTATTTGTGCTTTATCTAATGTATTTTGGTTGTATAATACTTTTTTAATGCAAAAATAAAAATGTATATTATATTATTTTTGTTTTATTTCTTAGTTATAAATATTGTAAAAGAAACAACTAATTAGTACTAAAATTATTTATTTTAACAAAAATTACATAGTATACGGTTTAATTTTTCTGCGAAATTTAGTTAAGTGTAGTTTACTAAATGATTTAAACATTATTTGCTTGTCTTCGACTTGTTTTATTTTTTCCTTTAGTTCTTTAATTTTTTTCATAAATTCCTCCAATTCTTGTTTAAACGATATGTTGTGTAGAAATGAAAACTACAAAATAAAATATATTATTTATTTATTGTATTTACATGTATTTACAGTATCTACCCCATCATCTTCAAAACAGGGTTTGGGTAGAACATCTTTGATTTGATGTAAGAAATCAATCAGCCCTAGATTTTTTATTTTTTTAAAAAAGCAACACATGCAAATTAAATCAGATAAATAATCTTCGCAGATTCTCGCACCCGTATGGTATATTACTGATTTTTCGTTACACTCTTCTACCGTATATCTTCTTGTTCTTATGGTAGCTAGTTCGGCTTCGTATTCAAAATCGTATGCCTTTTCATTAAATACCCATTGCAAATTTCGGACAGCTTCAGCTACGTTGAGAGACTTTGTACCATCTAAACACAAATCCATGACTAAATTCTAAAATTAATAATGTTAGCAACAATATTTATTAAAAAATATTTATTACCTTTCTGATCTCACGACGAACAAAATTTTACTAATCTACTGAAAATTATTTACTGTTTAACTTATATTACGACGAACCAAATGTTACTAAACATCACTTTTACAATCCTCAATTTATGTAGTTTACATTTTAAACACTGCGCATGCCTTAGTTGCTGCGTAGAGGTGACCTTGATTTACATAAATAAAAAGTAAGTACATTTGATGTTTAAGAATATTAACAGGTTAATAGCAATGGAGTGTTGTCACAAAGCTAAATTAATGGTTCAACATCCGCGAAAACCTTTGTACAAGTTTACTGAAGCAGAATTAGAAAATTTTACCCTACCATACTTTAGAAAATGTGTGGAACCGGTGGAATTACTACGATCTTGGTATAAATTACCCACAAAAGCTGTTCAAGATTTTGAAGTTCAGACTCGTCTGCCATGTTTTGTGCATTTTAATCGTCCTGAGTGGAGAACAGAGCTTGAAGGTTCAGCACCGGCACAATCTAGTTGTCATTTGTGTAAGTCTGCGCTTGAAAATTTAAAAAACATGTATAACAGTGTAATAAATAATTAAGAAGGTATTATTTTTTTATTAAGAGTTTTATTATACTAATAACCTTTCCTAACATTAGCTGTCACCGTGACTTGGAACTAGATCATGACATGACCTTTAATGTCATTCGCGTGACCTTGAACTTGATTTTTGCGTTACCTTGCGCTTTACCTTATCTTTACCTTACCTTTTTGCGTTACCTTACACTTTACCTTTGCGTGACCTTTAACTTGACCTTGACCTTGACCTCAAACTTGACCTTGACCTCGACCTTGACCCTGACCTTGACCTTGACATTGACCTTGACGTTGACCTTGACCTTGACCTCGACTTTGACCTTGCCCTCGACATCGACCTTGACCTCGACATCGACCTCGACCTTGACATCGACCTTGACCTGGACCTTGACCTCGACTTCGACCTTGACCTCGACCTTGACCTCGACCTTGACCTCGACCTTGACCTCGACCTCGACCTTGACCTCGACCTTGACCTCGACCTCGACCTTGATTGGAACCGGTTTCTCCCACCACAAAGTGCACCAGGAATGGTATAGAGTATCTACTCATAATATTTCCGACAATATACCAGCCTTCCGAAAACAATCCTCCTCCATGGACTGTAAATAAACCACCAGTAATCACTAATCTATCAAAATTTATTAAACATGAAGCCCCACCAGCCCTATTAATAAACCCTTCAAAGATATTATGGATAGATTTAGCGACTACCGACAGATCTACACAGATGGATTAAAAACAACGGACGTAGTCGGCGCAGCCATTTTATTCAATACTCATAATGCTAAATTTAAGTTGCATAACAACTAAACTATCTCCAATTATACGCAATCCTTGAAGCTCTAAAATTCATTAACAAAATGAATCAGCGAAATTACATAATCATAACCGACTCAATGAATGCACTTTGTGACAACCAAAACATATACTACAGCAACCCTATTCATAAAGACATTTACAAAGAACTTCAAAATGCTGCAAAGGAAAACAAACACGTGGTATTAATCTGGGTTCCATCTCATATTGGAATACAAGGTGACGAGATTGTGGACCGTCTAGCTCACAAAGCTGCGACAAGTGATGGTCAAGTGCAATTTATTAAAATAGTACCAAGTGATCTTAAATTGTGCCTAAAAAACGTAGTTAGTTGTGCGTGACAAAATAAATGGTCGCAGTGTTTCGAAAAACTAAGGCAAATTAAAGACAATGCTTAACAGAAGCCTTTGTGTTACCTAGAAAAAAACAAGTCATCTTTTCTCGACTTCGACTTGGTCACACCCGCCATACACATATCTTTACCGAATTACAAGAGACAATCCACCATACTGCAACCACTGTCAAACCAACAGTGCAGTATAACATATTTTAACTGATTGTCAAATTTTCCAGGATATCAATCATCTGAACAAGGATCATCAAGGACAACATCAAGGACAACAATCATCTAAACAATATTATGAAGTTTTTAACGGCTATAGACATAAAAGATATTTAAATTAAAATCTAGTCGGTTAGTTAATCACAAATTACATATATCAATCTTCTTCCATGTTAGTATGTAAATAATATTTACCTTTCTTTGTTCTAATATTTGTTTTTCATTGTTGTCGGTTATAACCTCAGTGGTTCGGACGACATTAACTAAATCAATAAAAAAAAACAATTTATAGTCTTTTTTCAGATTTACAAATATTCACGAACATTGAAAATAATATTAGGTATAAAGTTTCATATGATATAAACAAGATAACATCTTTGTTCAATTTCCTACAAAAATCTCGCATTTTAGAAAACGTTTTAAGTTTTATGGAGACCCATAAATTGAGAAGAAGGCATAAGAAATTTCATAGCTTTCTTCTGGCTGTAAACTTAAATCGGTCGTAAAGCAAAATAAAGAATTTAATAGTCTGTGTGAATGAAGCAAATTATTTATTTAAAACTATTTTGTCTCAGATGTTACAAGATTTAAAAATTTTACGAATTAATATAAAAATAACATTTTTTTGCAGCCGTCCCGAATGAGTATGATTTATGAAATCGAATTCGGTATGATTTATTAAATCGAAAGTACCATTTTACACAACTCGTACCGAAAAGCTACTTTCGGTACCAATTTTTTCACTTTCTGGACGATTTTGGGAGCTAGGTAACGGCTTTGACAATAAAATCAACTTTGTATTTTATTATTTTTGTGTTTTTGCTCAAATTTTCGTTTTTCAAGTCCAAAAAATGAAAATCAGCAGTTAAAGTGAAACCAAAATTATTTCAGATGAGATTGGTGAAACTACTAAAGCCGCTCTTTATGAATTATTTTCGTAAAGCCAAGAAAGAGATATGAAGACACGTCTAACACTAATTTTAATACTGCCACTGCTGTTAATATTCCTAACAATATCAATGATGATGATAATGATGATGATAGTGTATTTGGCATAGAAACTTATCCTTTTTCCACAGACTTTTAAATCATTTATGTTACGTTTATCAATTCAAACTTGATTGTACCAAATTTATATTATATATCCGGATGCATATAAAGGATTACATATGAGTTCATATATAGATTTCTGATTCAGTGACAGTAGGTGGGTTATGTTTACTGGAAGTTACAAACTACTTTTTACCAGTTTGTCATAAAACGTAGATGAGAGTGTTTTATTTTTAATACATACAAACAGGATGTGATTAATAACACATTGGGAAATATTATCTCATAAACACTTTCCTGATTCTAAAATGTTTAATCTAGCCAGGTGAACAGGAACAGCACCGTGACTCGTTTTTAATCTTGTGATAGTTGCTGCTGATGGTTTAGTATATTATAGTTGAATATGTGTGGTAATTCTGTCATGTGTGGTAATTAACTGGATGCTAACGTAGGATGAATCTTGTACTAATGATTATTTGAACTATTTGCCAATATTTTCCATCTGTCTTGCCAGTTAAAATTTATTTTTTTATTATAAAAATTGACTGGATCTGATACTGTGTAAATATGTTCTTGTATACCCGAATGAGTAGAATCCTTAGCGAGCTCGTCTACTATTTCATTACCTTTTATCCCGGAGTGACTTTTTGCCCAAATAAATGTTACATCTTTATTTCTCATTTTTTGTTTAATGTCACGTATCAGCTCACATGTGTTATGATTTAACTCAGTATTATTTAGTCCACTAAGAACTGACTTGGAGTCTGAGATGATCACAGCATCTTGCAAAATTACGTGCTCTAACCAATCCAGGGCTTTTCTAATAGCTACCGCTTGTTCATTGTAAATAGAGCAATGTGGAGGAAGCTTTATTTTAAGTGATCTGTTTTCGGAAGGAATATACACTGCAGACCCTACTTTTCCATCGTTTAATTTAGAGCCATTTGTGTAAATTATAGTTTTATGAGTATATTCACTCAGTATGGAGTTCAACAGCTTGTTATTTGTTTTATGTGAATCTGAATATTTCAAAAATATAATATTTGATTTTTTGAAGATCGTATTAAATTCTAATTTATAAAATGGTATCATGAAGTTTTTTTGTAAATATAACCGGTAAATCATTGATTTTCAGAAAGGCATCCGCTAATGGTGGTGAATTTTTTATTTTCCAATAATTTTTTACTAGATTTTGTATGGATAATTCATACAGCATACTTAGTAAGCCGCTTGTTCTAGCCCTTAATTTTAATACCCATATTATTGCTAATAAATTTTTACGATTTTCTAATGGCATTTTATTTCTTTTAGCAAGTAACAGGGGGCAAGGTTTTGATTTCATAGCAGCCAAAGTTAATCTCAAACTTTTAACCTGAATACGATCTATTCTTAGTAAATGTTTATTGCTTGCTGATCCATATAACACACATCAGTAATCCAAAATTGATTGCACGTAGGTCCTTTAAAACTTCAATGCAACTTTGGGATCAGAACCCCATTTTCTGCAGGTGACACATTTAAGGAGATTGATGCCTTTCTCACGTCTTTTTTTACATATTGGGTATGCTTGGACCATAGTAATTTGGGGTCTAGGATTATACCAAGATATTTATACTCAGTGACAATGGGTATATCATATCCTGACAGGTTTAAACTATCAGGCGTATGTATCATATCTCTTGTAAATATGATAATGGCAGATTTTTCTAGGGATATAGTAAGTTCATGGTCTTTAGCCCAATTATCCACTAGTTTCACGATGTGTTCCAGGACCTCCACACAATCGTCATATGAACCAGGGACGGAGTAAATACATATTATATCATCGGCATACTGAATACATTTTATGGAATCAACAAAAATGCCGTTTATACTTGCCGAAAATATGTTAAAGAGAATTGGGCTTAATACAGACCCCTGTGGTAATCCTGTATGAGTTATTCTTGGATCATGTAACTGATTACTATGGTCTCTGATATATAAAGTTCGGTTGCTAAAAATATTAACCATATTAGCGGATAAATTTGTGGTTAACCCCAGTTTGAATAAGTTTAAATGCATTACTGTTAAATTAACACAGTCGTAAGCACCTTTAAGGTCTAGAAAAAGACATGCTAAATATTTATTTATAAAAAAATTTAGTTGGATATCTGTTGTTAAGTAATTTATTGCATCTAGTGTTCCAAGATCAGATCGAAATCCATATTGAGTACTTGGCAAAAGATTATAGAATTCGACTGTCCAGTTAAGATGATTTTTGATAATTATTTCGAAAGTTTTTTTTTATACAAGACAATAGAGAAATGGATCGATAAGACGATGAGAGAGTTTTGTCTTTGTTGGGTTTGATAAAAAGACATATAATTGTTTCTTTCATTTTGTCAATATAATTTCCTTTCAGAAGCCAGTCATTAAATATTTTTAATCAACAATTTTTTGCCTTGTCGGCAAGGTGGTTAATTATCGAATAAGCGATTATAATCTTTTCCGGGCGCAGTAGATTTTGATATTTTAATATCTGCATCCAGTTCTTGGATGTTTATCGGATTTTCTAGTAATTTCAATATACTGGAAACTACAGTTCGCTGAAGACTCTTTTCATTTTGTGGAGGTATGGATTGTTCTTGGAGAATATTTCAAATCTATGGTGAATTGGATAAGGATGTAGATTATACCTAGTGATTCATTTAGAGGATTTCAGGTAGTGAAGCTTGTTAAATGAGGAGATACTAATGTCAAGTCTATTATTGAAGGACATTTATTTGGTCTGGATATTTTGGTTGGTCTGCCGTTATTGAGTAAAATTAGACTTGTATTGTCTAAAGCGTCAGCTGGAATATTATCTTGTGCACTATTTTGTATGGAACCCCATCTACAGTGATGACTAGTAAAATCGCCTCCAATTAAACCTCTGCCTTTAATTTGTCCAAATAAATTTTCCCAATCTTTGGATGAGACTTATATTTTAGGAGGTTTGTGAACACATAGTATTGGTAATTTTACTTGTTCTAGAAAAACACCGTAAACTTCTATATTTGAATTATAATTTGTTTTTAATTTTATATCTAAAAAGGAAATGTTGTTTGCAACTAAAACAGAAACGCCTCCATAGCCGTCACGTCGATCAACTCTAACATTATTAAAACCTTTAATATATAAATTTTTATTTTGTGACAACCAAGTTTTGTTCAGAAGAATGACATTAATTGTATGACTTCCTAGAAAATTAAGCAAATAAGTCTTGTGTTTTTTAATTGATTGACAGTTCCACTAAAGAATTTAAGTGTTCTATGATTCCCCATCACTATCGTTGTCTGATAAATAATAAAGTATATTTTTGGTTTCGTTTTGAGTGACTTTTTGGAATTCAACTGAAACTGGTTTGGGGTCAATTTGTTTAATTATTCTTTCTAAAGCAATTGGAATTTCTTGTAAAATTTGTAATTGTATTTTTTCTTTATAACTATGTCATAAAGTCATTCCAATATGGGCTAGGAATTATAGGATGTGACAGTGATTTTGTTTTAGAAGTTAAAGGAAATTATAATGCAGTTTTACATTGGGTGGGACATATGGCTTTTCGTTTAAGAGAATTAGAACTTTGTTTAGGTTTAGGAACCAATGAATTATTTACTGTACGGTCCTTTGCTGCAGTTGGGAGTTGGGGAAAGTTATTTAAGTTACTAAGCAATTCAAATTCATGTGTCGTGATTTTGGCATAATATGGATTTTTTACTATACACTCAGCTTTTTTAAATGTAGTGTTTTCAATCGCCATTATTTTTTTAATATTATATTTATGTTAATAAGCTGAGCATTTTTTCGTTAGAGTCGTATGATCGTTTGTTTTACAGTGAGACAATATTGTGGGTTACTACAACGGAAGTTGTCTTCGTGTCCTTTGCCACAGCTTTTGCATAAGCTGAAAGTGGACTTACACTGTCTGAGAGTATGACCAAATTTAAAACAATTTAATCACTGTGTGACGTCCTGACTCATCGTTACAACTGTATTACAGGGTATATGTATTGTTCAACTTGAAACCATACCAAATCAAACATAATATACTGAGGAATGATATTTCCTTCAAATGGTAAAATTACCATTTACCTAGGAACAAAAATATGAATCGATAAGCTTTCTATTCATACGTCTTACCTCAGATTTTTTCATGGTCGGAAATAATATTATTTATCATATAATTTTCGTCCAAAAAAGTAACAACCTGTCTAATTATTCCTTTCTTGTGATTAAAGAATTTCGGAATATAAGCAATAAATTTGTTAGAAATAATTATGTCGTGATTGACTAAACTATTTGCACAAGTGTAAGAATTAAAAATTACTTTCACTTTATTTTTACCTACGAGTTTATTATCGACAACATATTTCTTAAAAAAGTTATTAATGAATAAATAATGACCTACTCGGACAGGTGATAAACGTTTAATATTTGGGTCGATGGACTCTTCTTCTCTTCTTAACGTGCCCTATCAAGTCTCCTTGACGTTGGCAATTAACATGGCGAAACTGTCTCTGCCTCGAGCTATTCTAAAGAGTTGCTCAGCTTTCTTTATACCTGTCCACTCCCAGATATTCTTCAACCAAGAGGCCTGCTTTCTACCAATTCCTCTGCGTCCTTCGATTTTACTCATCATAATAAATTGAAGAATATTATATCGGTCTCCCGTTACTACGTGCCCAAAATAGGACATCTTTCTACATTTGATGTTATCAAACAGCTCGCGAGCAGCATTTGCCCTCTCAAGGACTGCCACCTTTGTCAGCATAGCCGTCCATAGAATTTTTAGTATACGTCTGTGCAGCCACATTTCAAAGGCCACCAGACGATTAATGGTGGATATTTTGTGCAAGTTATCATTACAGAAGAATGACCTCATTTTTAAAAATGTCGTGCGGGCTATCTCGATTCTACATTTTATCTCTTGATCTGGATCTAGTTGTTCAGTAATATGGCAACCAAGATATTCAAAACTGGACACTCTTTGAATTATATGACCATCAACATATAATCGTGCATCTTGATGTGCTAAACTGCTAAACACCATGTGTTTTGTTTTTGAACAGTTTATGTTTAGGCCAAACTCTCTTCCCACTGTATCAATGGCATTTAAAAGGCAGTGTAATTCATTCATGTCATCACTTAAAATAACTGTATCGTCTGCATATCTGATTGTATTTACCAGAATTCCATTAACTTTCACGCCCCATTCCAAATTATGCAGCGCTTCTTTAAATATTCTATCTAAATATAAATTAAATACCAGTGGGGATAGTATACAACTCTGTCTGACACCTCTTTGTATTTTAAATATTTCTGTTGATTTTCCGTTTATACAAGCTGTCGTTGTTTGACGCCAGTATAACTTTTCTATTAATCGTATGTCTTAACTATCAACTCCTTTATCTTTTAATATTGTTATTAATTTGTGATGCTGTACTCGATCAAAGGCCTTTTTATAGTCAATAAATACAGCAAAGACGTCATTCCTTTGATCTCGACATTTGACATTCCTTTGACCTCTGCAGTAATACATTTAGTGCAAAGAGGGCGTCCCTCCATCCATTTTTCTTTAGCCACCTTTATTTTTTGTTTAATTAGTTTCTGATTTTCCTTATATTCTGTCTTGTTACCTTTCAGTTTCCTTCTCTGCTCCATTAATTCCAGGATTTCATCACTCATCCATTGTTGGTTTTTGTGCCTGTGTAACGTTGTTGAACATTTTTCTATTACTTTCAAGGTAAAATCTTTAAATGTGTTCCATATTCTGTGTTGTTTTCATTTATTGATTCCTTTAACTCATTGTTTGTCATTTTCGATTAACGTTTTGTTGGATATTGAGATATTTAATTTTGGTGTTTTGGGGCTTTCTTGGACTTTTTGAACTTGAGATGGACTCTACAAAAACAAAATATGGGCCTTTATCAGAAGACCTGTACCTATTATTTAAATCAAAACGGGTATTTGTAGTTTCCATGTTTTCATCTTTATCAGGGGGTGGCTTTTCGCCACTTGAAGAATCATCCAATTTAAAATATAAAGAACAATCCTACATTTATTTATAATTTCTTACTATCTGAAAAACTTATCTTTAACTGTTTTGAAATTGAAAATTAATGAGCACTTCATCGATGTAGACACTATCGATACCAGCATACAACAGAACAATATCAATGTAAATAATTGTTAATTGTGTTATTAATATTTATAAGTAGATTTTTATAATGTTCTATTCACGAGAGTAACTTTAAAGTGTTTAATAAAAGTTCGTAAGTACAGTTTATCCATATATTCTTTTTAACATACAAAACGGTAGCAGAAAAAATACTGTACTTAACACGATCCAAGAGTAATTTTACGAGACTAGCAGGATTTGTAGCGTTTACGCTACTGACTAGTCCAATTAAAACCCCTCAAGAAACTTCTTGTGTTCCGCCAGCGATCGATTTTTAAATGGAAATTTTTCCCCACACGCGCAGTAGTCGCTTTGAAAGGAAGATTGGTCGAGTCCGTACGAGAACGATCAGTTTTTGGTCAGAACTCAGCGCAGACACGCCAATCAGTGAAATTTTCTCACGAAAAGAGACGGAATTGGAGCAAGGAAGATAACCTGGGGGAAGAATATAATTCAATAATAATAATAAGTAATTTTTTTTAATAAAATCAACAGTCATTTATAAGAGTTCCACATAAAAAAAGAATTTTTTTTTGGCGTGGGGGCGTGTTCCAAGTAAGTACATCATTTCATACGTATTACCTCCTTATCATACAATAAAATTTATCATTGCAGTTTAGTATTTCTCTAGAGATTTATTTTTGAGTTCCGAAATAATTTATATATAAAATTTCCTTGATTTACTTGCAAAGAACAGAAGGTCATTTTTTATATAGTTAAACTTAAATTCTGTTTTAGTCCATGTCGTTATCATTAAGTTTTTTTTTGGTTCCCTTTTTATCTAACTTTTTTTGGTGGAATATAAAAGGTTCTACAAATGTGGTACAGCCTTCTGTATTCTGCGCATGTTCTTTTCATGGCGCAAGCCTGCCATGTCTACCAAAGTAACTGCGCAAATTTTGACATGATGTTGATCTAACCTGATGTTTTTGTTTTGGTGCAGTCAATCTATGCTGCTACAAGTATTAAATAAAATAGTAACTAAATCTAATAATTAATCCTTTTAGATTCCGTCACTTGACAATATTCATTTAAGAATATTCACTGAAAAATAATAAATTTCTTGAATAGTTAACAACTTAGTTATGGAGTTACCGATTTCTTGGAGCAGATAGACCAGTGCCTGGTTTGACTACATTAGACTCCCCTGGGTTTGTCCTTACAGCCACAAACTGATGTAACCGTGCCAAGAGGAATTTTCCTATGGACTTATGGGGCTGTAAAGATAAGTTGTTTGACTATCTAACCTTTTTGTTATTTTCTATTTACTAGTGTAAACTTTTCATATGCATATAATTAATTGACTACATTTTGATAAAATATAATTATAATAGTAGTGATCTTCTTTAGTTGTATCACATTTGATATTAACAGGTCTCATTTCGTTTCTTGTCTCATTAGCTCATTATCCTTGCTATCTGCTTTGTATCTTTAACAATTCAGTGCATTGAAGCTAGCCCGAACACTCACTTGAGATTTAGTGTCTCTTTGGCCATTTAAATTTGTTCCTTTGAGCTTAGACATATTTTTAGTATTTTCATCACCTCTCCTCCAGTTTTTCTGGAATTTAGAAGTCTTACACTTCCTAAAATCCAATACTCCCGGAGTATTGAGGTTTTAGATTCCAGGACTCTCCTACGGCTTTCCCTGGAAACGTCCTACTCGCCTCGTAAAATATCCCTTTCGGAATTTAATAATAAACCTTTCTAAATTATTCGTTTTCTTTATGGATTGGAAAACTATTAATTAGCGCAGAAATTTTTTAGAGCTTTCTATTAACATACTGAACAAGAAACATCAGTAATATTAATTTTTATTATTGTCATCTGTTCTTTGCAAACATATTTATAAAAATCCTATTTCACCACGTACAAAAATTAAATTTCATTTCATTATGTTACCTGAAATGAAATATACTTTACCGGTAAAACATTCCTATTCTTCGGGTTTTCAATTCCGTGTCAAACAATTTTCCCTAAGAGTCTTACCGGTTCTACTAAACTTTTCGGCACAAAAAAACTAATTACGAAGTTGACGAAGGTATAACTTATTGTTTGTTCGGAATGTGGACTTAAAGACAAAAAGTTTAAGTAAAAACTTTTCGTTCATTTGGTTTGTTTAGCAGGAATATTTTAGTTGATTGAGTGAAACTGAAATTGAGCAATAGAAGAGGTTTTAGAATGAATATAGAGAATTGCAGGTAATGGTTTCTTACATATGTATTAATACTAGATTTCACGTAAAATTTTAAGGTCCATCTAATTTAAACGCTTTCCGATAAGGGGAAAACATCTGCATTTTTCACACTTCATTATTATTACCAGTACATTGCTTTTAGATTCCACTGCTGAACATAGGCCTCCGCCAATTGTTTTGAATGTTCTTGATATCTTGGCGTGGAAATCCAGTTTGTGTTAACCCTCTTTATTATCATTAATTTTCCACAGGAAAGTATGTACTGGTAAAGATAAATATTCTCTTTAGAGAATAAAACAGTTTTAGATAGAATTAGACTGATTTAACTAATTGACTGAGGTAGACATGTTTTATAAAGACAATGAATAATCCAGGATATGATTATA